AATGAACAAGTGCGAGTGGTTGACAATCGACGAGACTGGATTAAGCTCGGACTTATAATCTTTTTAATCATTGTTTTCCCAGTAAGTCTTTTTCTTTTTGCAAAACATGAGAAGTATCTATTCACTTTGTTTGCATTAGATCAGTTGGGTGATCCAGTAGTTTTTGTCTTTTGATTTTAGTTGATTACGTTTGTTACTTTAGAAGCAGAATTTTGTAATATGGTAGTCTAGCTTATTTCCAGTGCTTGTGAAATTAAACGGCAGATAAAGACCTGAAGCTCTTTTAAGTTGTTTATTTGTTGAATGAACATTGACAACTCTAGTTGCTTCAAAAAAGCGGTGGAATCGGTACGTAATTATAATAACTTTTTAGCCAGCAGCTGTAGCGCTACAAGCTAACGAGTGCAACATTAATGTGTTGATAAACCTTGGTTTGTTCTTCTTCTTCGTAGTGCCAGCTTGCATTCACGCGATTTGGTACTGCTTCTTCCGGAAAGATCCTCTGCATACACTTTCATAGGTGGAGACTTGATTGGTGAAAAGGACTGCTTTTTGCTTCTTGTCTTCAGCTTTATATGTATTTTTTTGTGTTTGCTGGAAAAAACGTTGTTAACAGATTGGTTCATGGTGTTTTTATTAATGACAACATTCCTTATATCGTAACCTCTTGCATATTACTTGCTTCTGTATTTTTTACTCTCAAAAAGTTGGTTGATGTTGGTAGTAATTATCAAAACCAACATATTTAATCTGCTCATGAGCGAATGCTCTTTCTTTTTTGTTTGTGCCTAGAATTATTATGCGCAGACTGGCGGTTATTATTGGTCCTGTTATTATTAATATCGATATAAGCGTATTGAAAAGAGAACTGACTTTGTTTGGTATGAATTTTTTTGTGCTTATGTATGTATAATGGTTATTCGAAAAAAAAAAAATTGTGCCGGAATATGAACCTCCATTCATCGTTTTGGTCGGTTCGTTTTTCTTTGTCTTTCTTTTTGCTTGTAGTATATATAGTTTGCTTTAAATGCCTTTTTAACTACAGACAGCTGATTAACAAAACTTACTTTTACCTTAGTTTTGCAGTAGGATCTTTCTAACTTTTTTACAGCCTCACTATTCTAAAATATTTTTTTGTCATTTATGTTCTTTTTTAAATGGCTCCCGCCGTATTCAGAACGGAAACAAAAGAAAAAAAGCCGCTACCATTTGATTATGTTTTTCTGACTTCTTAGCAGTGCTTCTTTTCAGTTTTTTGTTTTTTGTTTTACTTTCAAACCACTTTTAGAGGATTTGACTTTTACCATCATCTAAGCAGTTTCTTCGTTCTTTTTTTTTGGTTCTATTTATGATCCTTACAGTATAGTGGTGTTTCTATGTGGGGAACTTGGGTTCATTTGCCGTTTGCTGTTGATATTATCACTATTGCTGCTGCTGCTACTGCTACTCCGTTTACTGCTATTAAACCTGCAGGGAAGGGTACTTTTTAGGTTGTGAATGAGGAAGAGGAACTTTGCTTCAAATTTTTCTGTTGGTCTCTTTTTTATGCTGCTCAGAGCTCCTTTCTTGTTAGTTATCCTCTTTTTTTTTGTATTAATTTCTGAAGAATACTGTCATGTAACGCTACAATTATTTAGACAATTTATAACGAGGTAGCGGGAAAATAAGAGAACAGAAAGTTGAAAGAAACGTGCTTTCAGTATTAAAGAAAATTTTGGCATATTATGAAAAAAGGACGAAGGTACTCGCACATACATTTTCTGAGAATAGTTTTGATAGTTTGTTCACATCAGTGGTCGATGATTTTCAGTGTTATTTGCAATAAAGAAAAACGTGTTTAGTGTTCTCAAGGCTAGAACTGAATAGTTTTTTTGTTGTTCGATGATCAGTGGGACGTGTCATCTGTAAAATATTTTGATGATGCTATTTGTGATTTTAAAAAAAAAGTGTTATTATCATTCATTTGGGTGTAAGTGGAGGATGAGATGCGCAAGGAAGAGGTTTTTGTTGTATGGTTTTGCGAGGTGTCTGATGGACTAATGGGCGAAACAGCTTTGGCTGTACGGCGAAAGGCAGTTATGGGAAGCTGGAAAAGTTGTAGAAGAGGGTTTAGATGAAAAAGAGGAGATGGAGAAACGTTTTCTTTGTTGGTGAAGGATACAAAAGATTGGTTATTTTAAAGGTTAATTTTAAATACTTTCTGTGAGAGTTTGAATAAATATGCGCTTTCCACGAACGGCAAGTACGTATTTATTGGCCGGCAAAAAAATGAGAGGAAGAATGATGGAAAGGTTTGTCACGCTTCAGTCGCACCTTCTGTTCACAAGCACGAGTCGGAAAGAAAGCATATTAATAAATTTAGGCACTATTTTTATCTCATGGAACATTCAAAATTTTGTAAATGCTGAATGCCAACCGTTGAAAGATACAAAAATGACAACAATTTAACCTCACTCTGAACAAATTGTATCTCTACTCAATACTGATAGTACTCTCCATTTAATTACTACATATAAAAAGTATTCGCCCTGTTTTAACAGAGGACAGGGAGCTCCGCAGGTTTAGTCTGGTAGTCCATCATCATTTAGAAGTGTTCCTTGATAAAATGGTCAATGTTGTTTTGGTTTTCTACGGCTGGCACATTTTATCCGTTGAATGACTATTTTTTCAACTTATTGATGAGAGTATCAACGATGTGCTGCGGTTACGATATTATTCAGTACGTTCAAAAATTACTAACCTTGTTTTATGCTTATTTCAGGATAATGAAGTAATGAAGTTTATAGTTCTGCACCGCAAATATGCATAAACAATTTTAACGGCATATTAAGAAAAATTTTTACATTTTAAAACGCAATGGAACAATTAGAAAGCTAATACAATTTACCACAAGTTGAGTTTCAGATACAAATACGATGTGAAATTAAAATTCACCGATTACCTCTGTTTCCGTCGTGTGATACCAGTTCGTCAAGAGAATCTAACAGTTAATACAATCTACAGGATCCGTATTTATACCTGTCAGTGGAGTAACTGCGGATGATTACAGTTTATCAGATACACATCGTAAAAAGAAAAACTTTCCTTGAGCATTCTTAAGTTCACTGAGTCTACGTTTGTAAACAAATATATACTTATGATCTCTTTGCGCAACAGACAATAAACAGCGACCATAACAAAGTTTAGGTTTTTTACTTGAATGTTATTGAACAAAGAGCTTTCAAAAAATGTTTTAAAATTTTCATTTCTTTGTTAGATCACAGTTTATTTCAAATTTGCGCACTTGTCCATCACAAACATTAGATTTTTTGAAAGCAGTACTTCAGGTGTGTCAATTCTGAATATTTTAATTTAGAAAGAAGGAAAATAATTCTTTTAGTGTCTGAACAGCGATAGTATCAAAGTTTAGCGGGCTCAGATGAGGAAAGGTGACAGCAGTATGTGACTTAAACCGCAGTTTCTAAGTATGATCTATTTAATTCACCAGAAGACAGAAGTGCTTCATGCTGGTTTTGAAGGAACTAACAACTTTGGCATTTTAAACGCTGTTTGGCAAACCAGACAGAATGTGGCAAAACAATAGTGCAAACAGACACTATTTCTCAATTACAGATTTAAAGGATAAATGAAATTAACGTTTATTAAAAACAAGATGCGAAATATGAATGGGCTTTTCCTAGTTTACAGTAATCTTCAAGCTAGAGTCTTCACTGTATTATTCTATTCAGTGACTACAGGGAAAATGAGCAAGATAGATACCTAAACAGTATAAAATCAAGCAGCTTATCGTCTGAAAAAACTGTGAAAACCTGCACGATTTCATCGATCGGTGGTTGAGGATTCCCACGTACTCTTTTCATTAATTTTTACACACCTGTTTATTTGAGCCGCAGTAATTGTACAAGCACGCACTGCTGTTGTAGTAAGGCAGTGAGGAATGAAGAATGAGTTAACTAGAAGCAAAGATTAATTGAAATCTAGTAAATTTGATTGACACATTTTGCTTTTCACCGACAATGAAGTTAGAACAAAATGTTTAGACTGATTAATTAGAAATAGATATCCTTCAAAGTTGATACTTTATTTAAAAACATAGTTTGTTTTAAAATAAAGTAAGCTATTAATAATAAGGGCCCTCAGAAACTATTTTATGTAAAGAACCAAACTTTGAGTTTAAAATCATAGATGAAGCTAAACTCGTCCAAAATCTTGAAAGGACTTGCTTATTTCTCTTTTACAGATTAGAAGTGTTGCGACCGGGTATTTCAGTGTTAAGAAAAATTATTTTGATCCATCACTTAACAGAAGACAGGGTTTCCATAAAAATACTCCAGGTTACTAAATCCTGTCAGATGCTCATTTTGGTTTGCCGTTCCCTTCACTCTCTAGCTAGGTTTCTTAACTTTTAGCGCTTTTTCATAACTGCAGCTATGAATGTAAAAATATGGAATGTACTTCACCTACTTTATTTCCTGATGAAAGTTTCACAGAAAGCCCTGAAGTATGCAATCCTTTTTTGGTTTCTTAAAGTCAAGCTCCTTCTATAATCCACTTTACTATTTGTCGTGAAGAATATTTTTCAAAAAACTAAGACGTTCGAAAGAGAAGCTAATGAGCGAAGATTGCAATGCAGTAATCGACAAAAAAAGTATTAGCATAATTGGCGACAGTTTCTTTGTTCTCAGCAGTAGAGCTGTTTAGTTGAGTGGGTTCATCAAAAAGTGAAAAAGAATGTGAAGGTTCATCAGTGGTATCAGCTCACAATCTTGTTTTTCAATAAAGAATTCAGAAAAGTTGTTTTGAAAAATTACTTATCAGCATTAGATGCACGGCCACTGTCTAGTTTCTTCGTTCAAAGTTTAAATTTGCTTTGTGGCAAAGGTGATGATCAAATTTCGATAACTATGCTTCTTTTCTTGCTGCAATATCCCAAGCAAAAATTCAGCACTTGAAAATGACAGTTAAAATGCGGTATAAACATCCTCCAAGGCAACAGTGACAAGCAACAATAAGAAATAATTTATCCTATTTTCAAACAGCCAAAGCCTATAAAGGAATTTTTTTCTCTTTTTCGAATCATCCGCTGTTTCTGCGACCTACAGAAATAAAAAAATTAGAAACAGATCAAGTACAAAACTAAAGAGCCGTCAAATAAATGAAGAAAAGGGGTTGCGTTTGCTAAAAAGCTGGTAACTTGTAAATTACTGAGGAAAGAAGTAAGAGGGGGAAATTGAAAAAATGATAGAATGTCCTGCACTCAAGCAAGAAATAGGGAAAGCATCTCTATATTGGAA